TGCTTTTAAAACGTTAGATAGGAGTGGCATCAAAAAACCCTTGGTTTCAATTCCACTGTGAGATCTTGATCAAATTGCTTCGTCTTTTAAAACTGCAGTTTTATCATCATTAAAACAGAAACAATTATCATATCTCATAGTATTGGTACACGATTTTAGTAAGAATGCACAGAGTTTCACAAAATGCTTGACGCAGTTAGCACGTAAGGAACTATTATTATTATACATTTCAGCATCTCCCTTCCTGTTTTTCAGAAGCTGAGTTTCTAAATTATTTTATCTTATTGAGCTAATAAAATGTGTCTATAATAAATTTGACTTTTACATATCCATATTTACCATCATTTTCCTTCTGATTTTCTTATAGCATATAATCAATAGACAAGATGTGAAGAAAGTACAAAACCTTCTCCAAATTTTTTTCAGAGTATTTATCAAAATCTCTGAATGTATAGAGAATATCAAGAAGTAAGGGGAATGAATAGGAAGCAACATTTTTATTAATAAGTTTTGATCTTCCTACCACAGAATATAAAGGGTGAAAATACTGATATCACTGCTGAAAGTATAAACTTTATCTAATACTAACTAAATATTAAAAATCTTTGCTTTAAAAATGTTAGCATAAAAGGCAATTTACCTGAGAAGAAGGCATTTATGTTTGAGAAATAGAAGACTGTAAAAGATAGGCTTTTTAAGGCAGCATTTATCAAATACTTGTTACAGATCAGGTACATTGTAAATACCTTACATTTACAGTGACAGGTAAATATGAGACTTGCATTTTTTACTAGCTTTGGTAAAATCGTTTTCATTTTACATTTTGGACTGGGGTGAACGTTGTAAATGTTAATTGAATTGAGGTGAAAGTTGAAACAATAAGAGACCTCCAACCTCTAGTAATGGACAAGTCACAGGAGCAGCTGGCAGATAATAATTTGAAACAATGCTTGTCAGTAATGCTTATGCTGCCCTTCAAGTTGAGGTTGTTAAGAACCTGCATTTCAGAGGCCAGTGATCTTTAGTGTGACAGAGAGATCATTCACCCTGCTGAAGGTCACACTGAAAAAATAGCCCATAGCACAGAGGAAACAGTTGCTGAGATCTTTCTTATCTTTACCCTAAAAAAATGTATCTCAGAGACACACATTACACACCTTTCTGAAACCATGAATTTCTATCCAGCGAATTTTCAGTCAGTCTCCTGAGATCTTGTGGGCAGATTCCATCTAGCTGGTGATGACACAGGAGCTGAATATCACTGAATCTCTTATCTGTCCTTTGACACAATTGAGTATCCTTGCTGGGAACAATTGGTAATTGACCCACCTGGTCTGCTTAATGCAGCAAATTCATGTTGGTTCCCATAAATCCTCCTCTGAGATGCCCTTAATTCACTACATGCTGTTTATCTGTTCTTGGACTATCAGATTTTAACTACTTTAACACATTTACATTAGAGTTATTATTATGACACGCTCATCTTCAAGCTACTAAGAAGTATTCTGTGGTATTAGGAGAAGCTAGGTTACTTTTTCTCGAGCTGTGTTTAGAAATTGTTGTGCACCTTGATAGTCTAACTTAATTCTGGATTTTAAAAAATCCTCTTTAGTTTAAAAACTTAATTTCTGGTGATTGTATTAGAAATTCTGGTTAAATTTTTTTCCATTATTGGATATTTTGGAAGAGTTTCACTTTTTATTTTAATGTTTGTATTTCCATTTATTCTTAGTTCTAATGGAAGAGGAAATAGAACAGGAAGCAAAAGTGTATTGATACTCTTTTAAAGAAAAAAAGTGGAATCATACTATTTTTCTATGCATGTTACCATGTCACCTATTATCTGCCTTTTTTTGTATACTACTGTGTCATACACATGGTAGGCTTAGACACATTAAGATCATTCATAATAATTTTCATGAAATAGTGATAAATTACTTGAATTCTGAGAAAAAATATTTTATACGTATATTTGTTTTGCTCTCAACTTTAGGTATTTTAAATAGATCATTAAAATAGTGAACTGCCTATACAGCTAGTTGTTTTTTTTTTTAATAAAACTTGGTGTTTTATTTTTAGGTGATTCATTCATTGATATTTAGGAAGTGGGCTATGTAAAACTACATTTTTCCCAAAAAAAGATTGGTAAAAAGGAAAGTTGAGGATTACATTATCTTGAATTATCTTGAGGAATGTTTAGACTGTGTCTCTTTGAAAGGAGTGATTCAGAGGGTATGTTCTGGAGTCAGCCCACCTGAATTCAGGTTCTAGCTCTACTTTCTATGAGCTGTGTGGCTTCATCCAAACCAGCAGTGACAGTAGCATCTACTCATGGGGTAGAATGAATGTGATAATTCATGTAAACTTCTCAGAACAGCGACTATCACCTAGTAAGCTTAATATATGTTAGCTATTACTTTGGGAATGAATTAAGAACCACTAAGGATTTGAAAAAAAATTGAGAAAAGACACTGCTTGCACCGTATCTGAATTATCTACTTTCTTACAATATCCAAAATGATACCAATGTAGACCCATTAACAAGAAATCTAGTAGCAGCCCTCAGTCACTTGGATATCTGAACTTGTTTCACCATATTGAATTCCTTCCAATTTCTAGATGATGTTGAGAATGGCATGGCTGGGGGAGGTTGAAGGAAGGGAAAGGAGGCAATTGCTGTATAGAGCACATGAAAGCAGGTTTGGTGGTGGGTCTTAGGTTATCTGGAGGGTGGCGTAAAACCTGAGGCAGGTACCTTAGGGAGCATGCCTGGAGAAAGTTGCCTGAACATAAAATGCACATGCTAGGATTTTGCTGAACTATATCAAAATGCAAAGAGCAGTTTTTCCTAAGGACCTAATAAGTGCCGGGGAAGAAGGAAGGAAATACGCAGATATGGCCTTTACACCTGAAGAGTTTACAGTGTAGTGGGAATCAGACCAGTATGTGAATAAATATAATATAGTGTGAGGGACTCTTATTTATCAAATACTATGAGCATATGGAGACACAGGCAAGGGAGGAATCAACTTTAGGAGAATCAGGGAATTACACAGAGGATGTAAGAAAGTACCATTTGGAGAAAAGGGAAAGCTCCGTACAGAGAGTTGCCTCTGCAGGGGCTGGGGACCTGAAGGAGCGTGCTTGTTTTGGCTGGAGAATCATAGACGATGTTTGTTAGTCCAGTGGTTTCGATCAGATTATGAAAGCACATCTCTGTCATTTCAAAAATTGCAATTGCCTCTTTGGACAATGGGGAGTCTTCCCTAGACAAATTCTCATTAGCCCTGTTGTGAATACTTGTAATCTATTTTTTCAGACACAATATAACAAGGTCATCATTAAGTTATATTTTATTGAAAATGTTTAATAGTAGACTCTGGAAGTACCCTTTCCTCAGAACCATGCCTGGCAAAGAAAAAAAATAAAAGCTTTTGGTTTCACTTTACATTTAACCTTGTTAAGTACTTTATTCATCAAAATTAGTGTAGGTGAAAAGTAAGTCCACCCTTTCACTACTGATTTTACTATTTTCCCTCTGATTGTCTCAGCATACATTTTTATGAGCATACATTTTATTAAGTGCTGAGAGTATTTCTATAGATGACCAACTTCTTAATAATATGAGTTATGTAGCAAAAGATGGCAAGCATAGCTATCATTGCCTCATGGCATTTTAGAGTTGGATGAAGTTCTGAAGTTCACCTTGTCCAGCTTTTCACTTCATGCAGAATTTCTTTTGATTACATCCGTTGCAGGGAAAAAAATGCATAGCCTCTGCTTGAATATATGTGGAGTAAGGAGTTGAGAGCTTCCTAAAGCCGATCGTCCCATTTCTTAATATCTTTTATACTTAGAAAGGTCTTCCTTATGATCTACTTTCTTGAATTATAATTACTAGTGCTATTCCTGCCCTCTAGAGACTAAATAACTGTAATTCTGCTCCCACCTGATGACCGTTTAAATATGTCATCATATTTTAAAGGGGGCAAGATTGATATGCCCTCTTTTCCCGCCACCTTAACATTTATCTTTACCACAAGAAACACCTCAAGTTTCTTCAGTGTGATGTTAGTTTCTGGACGTCCTTACTCTCCTCTAGAGCTATAGCAGCTTATAAATCATTTAAGTGTGCATTTTACATTAGCTTGTCATTATTTTATTTAAATTTGGGAAAAGGAGAGAGGATAGATATTTATTTTTACTGAAATATTAAATTGCACACTTAAAACAAATGAGATTGGGATATGAGTACATGAGGGCTAGATTTTGCCACTCTTTAGTTAGTGTGCATAGTCCAAAAGAGCTTAGTTATGTAGTACCGGGGCTTAAATTGAGTTAGAGTTGCAATCAAATTCTTTTCTAAAATATTTAAAACATCCCAATATCAGTTAAACATTAAGAAAACATTACTTAAACATTTTTGCCCTCGTCGTTAGTTATAACTCAGCCTTATTCAGTTAAGAGTCAAGAACTGTGGATTGAAGTTTTCTTGTGATTTTGCCTAGAGGTAGAAACCATGCTGACACTTATACATGTTTCTGAAACTAAATGAAAAGCTAAAAAAAAATGAAATTTCCACCTGCCCTCAGTACCTTGGCTGAAAATTTAGGTCATTTGGGACAGCGTATGAATTATTTTAGGGCACCATTTAATATGGTATTTCTGCTGTATGTTGAACTTGCCTAACCTAGACACCAGAGTCTGAGTCCAGAAATCCTGTTTCATTGCATCTGTGCTGGTTGACTGATGTTGCAGGGGATGTGAATTTAGAGTTTAGGCCCCAGTAATCATCATCTGAGTAAGCACAATGGAAAATTGCTTTAAAGAGTCATGTAACAAAAGGTGTAACCAACTTCTGATTTTCAATGCTTGAATTCTCTTGAATGTCCTTTCATTCTTTCCTGAAATACAGGATGAGGCATGACACTACCCAATCACAGTCTCATTGTTGGGTACTTTCTATGTAACATATGCTTTGTTTTTGTTTTTCTCAAAAGGCGTTTAAACAGAAATCACCTTCAGCTGTTTCCTGAGTTGCTGTTTCTTGGGACTTCGAAGCTATACAGACTGTAAGTAGACAGAAATAGTTATTGTTGCCTTGGGTAGTACCTCGCGTTTTATTAAATGCATTTTGGATCTGTTTCCTTGTGCTTTCCTGGAATCTATTCATCTATTCACCCGTAGATTAATGGATTAAAAGTTTGCCTTTCTTTCTTTTCTTCTTTTCTCTCTCTTTTCTTTTTTGTTTTTTGGAAATTTATGATTGGTTTTCCAGTAGTTCCAGTTCTTTTATTTGGTTAGCATTTACTGATTCGTGTATATGTTTTTGTAATTGTATTATTCTTTTTTGGTCCTGATGGGGAGATTTACCTAACTTCTTTATGGAAACGTTTGATTAAGTTCTGAAGGGAAAGATTGCCACTGCACTTCCTCTTCAGAGGAAGTTGGCAGTGTTTTCTTGTAAAGTTGAGGTTTTTAATGTCAGCTTTTTTGATATTGTTTCTGTATTCACATAGTGTTTATTAATCTAGAAATATTATTATAAGTTATTTAAAGAGGACTGTAAATTTCCTCTTAAATGTTCCTTTTAAAGCCAGAATTCCAAACTGTGCAATATGAACGACTGTAAGGGTTTCATATCAAATACGTCATTGACTGTTAACAGAAGTACTTTGGAAGGAGCGTAACGTGAGTTGTAGGCAGAATCGGTTTTTCTTCCCTGGAATGCTTGTTCACTGACCTAATGTGCATAGTGAAAATATACTTTTGAAAGCTCTTAAAATTAGATTTTCAGCCACATGAATGATTTTGTGCAGATGGGAGATAAGCTACAAAGTATTGGAAAAATAAATAATAATGATTATTGATGTTTGTGGATGTTGTGAAAAATCGTTGGGATATATAGAATAAATTGCTCAGCCTGGCTCCCACCTGGATGGTGGGGAAAGTCCCATATGGTCATGCTTGTGGGGTAAGTGAAGAGATTGCCTTTTCTGAACTTGACTTTGTAGCCATGGCTTCGTGGTAGCCTACTAGTTCAATATTGTTGTTATGAATTCCAGAAGTAGGAAGGCCCTCTTCCCACAGCCCTCCCCCGACATTGTATCTCAGTTAGGCTCTGTGTTAGATCCTCCTGACACCTTACCTGACTATAAGAGAATTTTCCCAGCAGGTGAAGGTGGAGCCAGCTACATACCAGGTCTTCTCTCTAGAGTCTGACTTTCCTGATTCTGTTCCTCTAAGGATAGCCAAAGTCACCTAGCCGTATTTCTCCTCTGCATTGTGTTCTCTGCTGGTTAATTGACCCAATTTAAGTAAATTTAAAAGAATTAAATAAAGAAACCTTGAGACCGCCTTTTTAACAAGAATTCTCTAAGGACTATTTTTACCAAGGAAACTAGATGTAGGCTGTTATGAAAATTATATGTATGAATATAAATTGATACTTGTATTTAATTATTTGTGCTTAGTTTGCAAGAAGGACTACAGAGATGGTTTTAATAGATTCTACTTTCTGCTTTAACATTTTTGATTGAGGGGATTTTGAAGAATTGATTTCAAAGCTAGTATACATTGAGTGCTATTAAATTACTACTTTGCTCACAATGTGCATATAAAAACAATCCACGTTGTCTAGAAAAGTCTGTCTCCTATGTAGCTGTGAAAATATAATTTAAATAGAATGACTGTTATAGCTAGAATTAAAATTATTAAGCTGAAGAGAGGAAAATATAGGAAGTAACTTTAACACTGTCTCTGAGAAACGAGAATATTTGATTTTTAGTCTGGAAGTACTTGGATTAATTTTCTTAGAGGGATTCAGGTGGTATAATCTAGTGCAGAATCACTTGCCAGCAAATTATATTCTGTTCAATATTTTGCCCCCTTTTACAATGTCATATAATGGACCAAGGGATTTTCCCTTATGTTTTGTTATGATTTTATAACTTTATGAAGCTGCTGTATGAAAGAAGATGACTCGGAATCCTTATGTGAGTTAAAGAAACAGAACCCATAAAACTATAAGGCAACATTTTCTAGTTAATTAAAAGCATGTTAACAAGTGGGGCCATAGGCAGCTAGAAAATGTGTTCAGAGTCATGTTGTGCCTGTTTGGCTCAAAGGATTTCCCCTGGGGGGTAATGGAAGATAAAATTTTGTTTCTAATGTGGGACTAGTTGCATGAGGGACTTGAAGGCTTTGATTTCCTGAAGTTAGAGCTTGATGGCTTAGTGTTCAATACTGATTGTGACTTGACACCTGACATAGACACTGGATACACGTGGAAACATAGAGGTGCATCAGGAAAAAGGAATCTTCTTTTGAGTTGAGGCACTGTTTTCTCACCTGAATTAGACCTAGTGAATTGTTAGCAATGATCTTTCTCTTAAGAGGAAAGTTATAAGCTACATGTAACCAGTTTTTTATGATGGTGATCACTAATTGATTAAACAACCACCATTAAGAGTATTTAATAAATAAAGAAACAAAAGCTTGTGAAGCCAGTTGCCTGTCTAGTTTAATTTCCAAGAGGAAGGATGCAAGTTCAAGTATTCTTTATATGATACAGGTGCCTAGTAGCTAACCGGAAACAACTGTTCTAACAGATGGAATAATATGGACAAATCTACATACAAAAATGTCCTTCAAAATGTTCATTTAAAAGTGAACTTTTCTTTCACAAGAAGGATAAGTGACCAAACAAAAGATACAGGATTTTGGACAAACAACAGGACAATATGTTGTGACAGGGAAAAGTCAACTGGTAGTTGTATTTGCATATCAGATGATCTACAGTTGCCCTACTGTATAATTTAGTAGAGCCATACACATCTAGAATTCATGAAAGAAACAAATTTAGATTTATTTTCTCTTTATAAATTGATGCATAATGCTAATTCGTACCTCTAGTTCTTTTCCTAACTTATTTTATCTTTTACCCTTACTTAATACTATTGTTTCCTGATGCATAATCAATGAAAAAGTTTACTTGTTTTACTCTATAGTTCACACACTGATGTTTGACTTTTATCATTGTTTGCTTAGATTAAATCTAAGCAAACTGGACATTATACAGATTTTCTTTGTGCCTCTGTAATGAATAATCGCCATTTGACTCTTGGCTGAAAATGAGATGCCAGGTGAAGGAGCACACATGCTTTTTAAAAAAAACTCTAAATGCAGTATAGAAGAAAAAGAGGGTACACTGTATATGAATTATGATTCGACACGGTTGGTTGCTGCTAGCGGCCAAATATGCTTTTCCTTTGCTGTCTGCTCCAATTTCTCTGGACGGGTTGAGAGAGCACTCCATGTTCAGGTCAAGATGTTTGCTCAGAAATAGTAGTACAGTTGCAGCTGTGTTTGTTGGAGCAGGAGACTAGTTTAAATAGCATTACCATTTATCCAGTCCATTAACAGAACTCTGTAAAATAATACCAACTCTGCATAAACTACAGGACAGTGTAATAAAATTACAAGCGCTTGTTGACAGATGGAAAGTGTAAGTAAAGAAAAAAGAAAAGTAAAGGGCCATAGGTTGGAGGTTAAAAGAGACAGCACATAGTTTTCTTAGCTTATGTAGATACTCTGTCCTCCCCCTTTGCTCCTCCTCCAAAACTGAGGTTGCACTTTTATTATCAGTTTAAGAGTGGAGAACATGATTTTCAGAACAATTAGGAGCTGGTTAACGGATAGAAATTTCAGTGACTTTTGAAATGGTCAATTATGATTGAAATTTATGAGTAGCTTATACAGATGTTCCTGAAAAACATAACCTTAAAGGTGACTTCCCAGCTAGAGTTTGCAGCCACTCATCTGGGCTCATTAGAGAGGAATTTCATTGCTAGTACTGTGGTTAAGCATTCCGTTACAAATATTTGTTTTGTGGTTTTCAGTTTATTTCTTTGAGTATTATATATTTACCCAGACTTCTAACATAAGCTTAAGTAGCCAAACCACGGTGCAGAAACTCATTTTTCACTTGTATCTACTGAAACAAAACAAAACTAACAAACAAAACCAAATACATAGGTCCCAGTGATTCATTTTTTTTACTTCTTTAAATAAAAACTCTTTATTTCTGGTTAACAAGTGGTGTTTCCCTAGAGACCTTTGGAGCCACTAAATTATCTAACATTATAAGTAGTATTTTTAAAGCCAAGGACTCTTTTTATGGCCTAGTGACTCCTTACCTGAGACAAATAAATTTTGAGCGCTTAATTCAATTGGTCAGGTCACAATTCCTTTGCTGTCGGATAGGATCTCAGATTCTCCAGATACTCTTTGATAATAATTATTGGAAATATTTAAGAGGAAAACTTAATTTCTATTAAGGTAAAAATTGATTTGTGAAACGTAACAAATATACAGTGAAGCTGTCCTTATTTCCCTTTCTCATAGAAGGAGCCTTAGCTTTTGATTTTGGTTTTTAATAGTTACAAGGGTAACACATGCTTATATTAAAAAGGTTTAGGGGACTCCCTTGGCAGTCCAGTGGTCAAGCCTCTGTGCTTCCACTGCAGGGGACTCAGGTTCAATCCCTGGTTGGGGAACAAAGATCCCACATGCCTCGTGGCCAAGGGAAAAAAAAAATAGGTTTAGACAGTTCAGAAAAAGAGAAAAGTAAGTGGGGATAGAAATTATTCATGATCTCACCATTCAGATATAACCTCTAGTATACTTGACAATTATTAGTAGATTAGTTTTCTTTTAATTATGCTATAAATGCTGGTATACATGCATTACAAAAACATTTTTTTTAGTATCCCCAGGGTTTAGTATAAGGCTTGACCTTTAGAAAGCTCTCAGTGTTTGATGTATTGAATTAAATCTCCGTTGGGCTCAGGGTTTGTAACTTGAATGAGCAAATAGTAACACTGGGAAGGAAGTATGAATAATGGGGAACCAAATTAAATTTAAAGGGTACCTTGGCTAATTAAACGTTTGTCCCCTTAGGTTTTCTAAACATTGAAGGATATCGGTAGACACTGAAAAATCAAAATGATCCATTTTCCACCTAAGCAAAATATACCTTAATACTGCACTTATATAAAACTAACCTCCCCCC